ACATAGAAGATCCCCAAAACTCCATTAAAAGACTCTTAGATAGTAAATAAATTGCGCAGTGTGGCTGGATACAAAATCAATACTCAAAAATGAATAGCATTCCTATATACTTACAACAAAATCATAGAGAGAGAAATAAGAGAAACTACATCCTTCGCACTAGCAACCCCCCAAAAATGAAATATTTAGGAATTATTCTCATGAGAGAAGTGAAAGACCTATACAGGTAAAATTATAACACTGAAAAATGAAATTGAAGTTGATCTCAGAAAATGGAAAGACATACCTTGCTCATGGATAGGAAGAATAAATATTGTGAAATGGCCATTCTCCCAAAACTGTTATACAGATTCAATGCAATCCTGATAAAAGATACCATCAATATACCTCATAGATCTTGAGAAATCATTTCTAAAATTTATCTGGAGTGAGAAGAGACCTAGAATAGCAAGGACAGTTCTAAGCAACAATGGCAAGACAGGAGGCATCACAATCCCTGACTTGAAGTTATACTACAAAGTAACAGTAGTAAAATCAACATGGTACTGGAATAAAAACAGATTTGAAGACCAGTGGGATAGATTAGAAGATACAACCACAACTATAAACACACTCAACCACCTTATCTTTGATAAAGGGGCCAAGCATGTTCACTGGAAGAACGACAGTCTCTTTATTAAATGGTGTTGGAAAAACTGGCTCTCCATATGCTAAAAACTAAAACTAGACACATGCCTATCACCATGTACTAAAATAAAATCTAAATGGATCAAAGATCTAAATATTAAAACAGAGACACTAAATCTATTGGATGACAAATTGAGTGAAAACCTTGAAGACATAGGAGTGAGTAGAGAATTCATGAACAGGACTCCAACCACACGGGAAATACTTCCCAGGGTCAATAACTGGGATCACCTCTTATTAAAAAGTTTCTGCACGTCAAAAGAAATCTCCAGCATAGTGAAAAGAAAACCCACAAATGGGGAAAAAATCTTAGTGAACTGCTCCTCAGACAAAGGACTTCTGTTTAAAACATATAAAGAATTAAAAATCAGACCCCCAAAATTCAAAGACCCAATTCAAAAATGGGCATCTGAGATGAGTACATAATTCCAGATGAAGAAATACAAATGGTAAATAAATACATGAAAAAAAATGTTCATCATCATTAGTCATTAGAGAAATGCAAATTAAAACCACACTGAGATTTCATCTCACTCCTGGAAAAATGGCCAATATCAAGAAAACAACCAACAACAAATGGTGGAGAGGCTGTGGGGAAAAAGGAACTCTCCTTCACTGCTGGTTGGAGTGCAAACTGGTGCAACCATTGTTGAGGTCAGTCTGGAGATTTCTCAGAAAGCTGTCATTGGAAGCCCCATTTGATCCAGCTATTCCACTTCTAGGCATATTTCCAGAAGAACTGAAAGCATCGTACCTCAGTGATATATGTACATCCATATTTATAGCAGCACAACGTGTATTAGCCAGATCTTGGAAACAACCTAAGTGTCCATCAACTGAGGAATGGATAAAAAAGTTGTGGTATTTTTATACAATGAAGTACTACTCAACTATAAAAAATGATCACATTGAGATATTTATAAATAAATGGATGCAGCTTGAGACCATAGTCAAAAGTGAAATAAATCAAACTCACATGTATAAATACCGAATAGTTTCCCTATTGTAAGAAATGATAAGAATACATAAAAGTATGTGGTAATCATGATTCCCAATCATATTGGTTTGAAGCCATATAATGTTTTCACCCACTAATTGGAATGGTTTTAATCTAGGTTGTTCAATTTTATTGTCTGTGATAGTGTGCATAGCTATTTTAAAGAAAACAAGACATCATAATTGCTAGTGCTGATTTAATATCATCTTGTTTTGAAGTCCCATCAACTGTTGTTCACCTGTTTCCATTTGGTTTAACATGTTGTATCTTATTATATTTTACTACATGCAATAGTATAAACAAAAATTTTTTATAGGCAGAGATAATATAGAAACCATTGTTCATTTTCTGTTAGCTGGTTCTAAATACTCTGTAATACTTTCATTCTCTTGAATGGCTTCACAGTATCTTGATATGTTTGATGCTATAGTATACGAAGTTGTACATAAATATTTCAAGGAAAGAGACACTATGGTGACTACTATTATGTCAGGTTATCTGGTGGTGAAACACAATGATGCTTAAATTGTTAGGTTTTGACCTGTGTTCAGTTGCTATGTCCTCTTTTATCTCAATCTCTCCCCCTTTTTTTTTTCTTTTTTAAAGAATTTATTTTTTTTAATCAAGGGAAAACTAAATTAAAAATATCAGTATATGTTATAGAAATTTTTTTGTTTTCCTATTAATCTTATTTGAACCCGTGTAATGCTCTCCCCATCTTATTCTGACTGATTTTACTATATTCTGTTTTGTTTGATAATATCAATTTTGAGGGTATAGGCAACCACTTTGAAGGCAATAAGATTTACTATGATGCCCATTGTTGTTTGACTATTATCTTCTTTTGAAGTCCTGTAAGGTCTCCAATGTAGGTTTTATTGGTCTTTTTGTGTACTCTTTTGTTCAATTCTACTATACCTGATGATATAGGCAACTCTTTTTAAGATAGCAAGCGGCATAATGGTAACCATTGTTGATCACCTGGCATTCTGTTTTTGCATCATGTACTATATCCATCCTTCTGTTCTAACTGACTCTGTTTTGCTTTGTTACATTTGGTTTTTTTTCTCTTCAAAAAAAAGTTATAAGAACTGTGGGAGTGATAAAACCCAAAAAGTGTAATTGTTATTGTAAAAAAGAGAGGAAAAGAAGGTGATCTAAAGGATATAACTGCATGTATGCTTAAGTATAGGATAGAAAATCATATTACCAGTTTTTTGTTGGATCATTGAACAGAACTGTCTGCAATCTCACTGTATGAATGTCTACTTTGTATACTTTAATTTTGTAATTTGGACAACTGTTTCTGTGTAATCTGTTACAATGTGTAATCTGTTAACCAGTGATTTCTTACTGTATATTTTTTGCTTGACATTCTGGATTACTTGTACTCTTTTTACTGCTTTGTTTTTTTTTTTTCTCTCTCTCTCTCTTTAAATAATAAAAAAACTTTTAAAAAGTTTTTTTTTCTGTATTTTTTTAAGTGTTGCTCTGTGAATAAAGAGCTAAGTGCTTTCTCATCCATTCCATTGGTTATGTGATACAGGATTTTTCAAGTTTGCTTTAAAGAGTCATGTCATTCTTTAGGAATAATAATAGTAATAATGTGTTTCTTTCTCATTGAAGAAAAGTTACTGGTCTGTAATGTTCTGGTAAACTTTTAAGTAAAGGTAAATGAATGCAGAGTGTAGTAATTGATTGTCCATTCTCTCACATGCCTATGTCCTTACTGTGTTCTTCCACACTTCCATTTTCTTTGGTGAAATATAAAAACAATTTGGTCCTTGTTATTTATTCCTTGTTTTTGCTTGAGTTAGATATGTTTTAGTCACTTTTTTAAGATTTGTGTTCATTGGTCTTTACTCCCTGTGCAAAATCTTTATACTGTGTATTCACTAAATAGTTTCTTGTCTTGTTTATATCTCATATTTTTGATCTATTTACCATTCTAATTCTGATGGTTAGTTGGTTTTCTTTTAAGGAAAATGCTTTTCACATACAAAAACTTTTACAACTATGAATTCTCAAGCATTCAAATTTGTCTCTCCTATTTCAGTATGTAACTTAAATATTGCAGGTAGAATAAAAAGCTATACAATCCAGATTCCAAAAACACATACCTGTTTCTCACTAAACATAAATGAAAGAGATTGTGATTTCTTCCAGAGATGTATAATACCAGCTGTATCCACAATCAATATTCTACATAACTGTGAGCTCTCTGGTCTGTAATCAGTTCTTGAGATCTATTTGTCATTTTCTCTAATAATGGTTTTATTATTTTCTATAGTACAATTTTTTGATTCAAGGTCTCTCTTTGTATTTAAGACAGCAGTGCAATTAAGGCTGGCTTCAAACTCAATGCGCTTTTCCTGTGTCAGTCTCCTAAGTGCTGGGGTTGTACACATGTATCACCACAATTGGTGGAAGTTTTCCTTTTGTGCCTAATTGTTTTGTGATATATTGGTTTCAGTGCATACAATATATTTTATACATCTTACTGTCTAGCATGCTAGAATTCCTTATATCTGAGTGCAAGGTTATGACTTGGTGACATGGAGCTATAAGATAATTTGAAGCTTTTTTGTTGTTCATAACTGATTGAGATAAAGCTTTTTCCACTAACATTTTAATTATTATTTATATACCATTTTTTATGTTCAGTATGTTTTTTTGTGTCTGAAACCAAATTTAAATTTCAAAATGCTGCTTAAGTGCATCAAAGAAAGAAGCACTTAGTACCATAAAGAATAAGATTTGAAAAGAGATTATCTATAAGGCATCAAATTATTTCAGGTTATCATCGGTCCCCGTGCTTTATGGCTGGTGGTCTTGTAGGCTCCCACTGTGAGGTCTGCCTTAGAGACAGTGCTGAATAACCTGGCAGTGACCCAGCAAAAGAACCAGTGCTCCTATTCTGCTCTTGCATTAACAGTGAGGTGCAATCTAACATCAGAATTGCTGTCTTTAAAAAATATGCATATATACAGGATGAATGACCAAGGCATGTAATTATGATTGAAGGCATATAATTATGATTGAAGAATTCACCCTCCATTCAGCTGTGTATTGTGTTGTATTTCACTTTGTATTATTGAGACAGGTTCTCTCCTTGTAGTTTATGCTGGTTTTGGACTCACTATAGATATACAATACTCTTGAACTCATTTCATTCATCAGGTCTCAGCCTCCTGAGTGCTGGGATTACAGATATGCATTACCACCCTTGGCTCTCAATTCAACATATTATGAGAGGAGATAAGATATACCAGGTTATGAGTCTAAACTTTCCTTTGAGATATGTATGATCCTTTAGGAGGTGGTGACCTTTGAGGATGTGGCTGTCAGCTTCACCAGTGAGGAGTGGGCTTTGCTGAGTCCATCCCAAAAGAAGCTCTACAGAGATGTGATGGAGGAAAGCTTTAGGAACATGGCTGCTATAGGTAAGGATGACATCTCTTTGTTACTTATAGTCTCAGAGAATACTGTTTGTTGTTCATCAATGTGCTTCATTAAAAAGAATGTTAAAATAGTTTGAAGTATAGCTTTAACCTATTTACATTTTATCATTGGTCTACTTGGAATATATTAATGTATGTATTATTATAATAAGTCCTTATATTTCTATGTCTACAATTCAGGAAGACTTGGGGATAACCATGAAGCTGAAAAAGAATGCAAAACTTACTGGAGATATTTAAGGTAATTTGCTCTCACAAGGAGGAGGATGTTCCTCAGGGGTCTGTGTGAGCAGAAACATGACAGCCAAGGAAATGAGATGAAGTTCAATTTAATGTCAAAAATATTCTCCAAAGGTTTATACAGCTTGAGTATGTATAATCTGATAGTTGCATCATGAAAATATCTGAAATTGCATAGGTATTGTATATAGATGAAAATGAAAAAAATAAAATTTCAATTTTGAGAGCAACCCTTGTTTAGCATATCTAGTTATGGATACATGTGAATCGAACACATTCAGTATCTAAACATTGCTAATCTTGAAGCAGTGTTCAAAGTAAAACTGAATACTAGTTATTCTATGTGTTTTCAACCCATTCTCCAAAGAATTGAGTCCATTCTGTTTTAAAATTCTTAGAAGGCTGATGGATTGCTAAGTACAGTCACTGTAATAATCAGTACCTAGATGCCTCTAAAAGTGGGTCTTTGTATATCTCTGGGTATATTCTCAAAAGAGTGAAAATCATCATATTATACAGATCCATGCATGCCCATACTCAAAGTAGTTCACTTTACGACCAATAAAGGCCTTCAATCATCTTAGATATCTGTCACTGGATTTTTGGATGAAGAAAATTGTTTATAGGCTCCATGTCACTGTTTATTCCTGTAAACGCAGCACTCAGGGAAGCAGATTTTGCAGACTGACAGATTGAAGCTCTCCCAGAAGACCTTAAACATCACTGACAACTTTTCAAAATAAGAAATAAAAAAGCTAAGTTTTTGTGCTAATACCTGTGTTTTATTCCCTACATTGAAAAAAAAAAAGTAAACGTGTTAGGTAATCAGCCAAAAAATATGTAATGTGTCATTTGTCAAAAGAAATAGGTTGGTGTTCTTCCTATAAAATTCAGTGAAATAACTCAGCTACAGATGGGAAATGTCACATGCCTTCTATTCTGTGAGAAACCAAAATAAAAATGATAGAGCAACATAAAAGAGAGTTGGTAGAGAAAGGAAAGACAGATCTTTTGGAGAAGGGAATGACAAACAGGGTAAGGAGTGAAGGGGCAGAGCAGCGGGGGAAAAGGGATCAGAATGGTCAACGTGTGATCCATATATGTATCATTGCCCAAAATGAAGCGAAATATTCTGTATTTCAAAATATACCAACTTCAACATTCCCCAGTGAATACTACTCTTTTCGAAATGGCTATTACAAATGTATCCTGCAAGACATTCAATTAATTGTTCAGATTTCTTAGGTGGTATCAAGACAGAACTTGCTGTGGTAAATCATTAATACAAAGAACCCATTTCATTGTGATTTTTTTTCTCTTTACAGAAATGACAAGATAGAGAAATGCAATGGTTATAAAACTTGGAATCAGTATGAAGAAACATTTCCTTGTACCCAAGATGGAAATGTGGATGTTAAAGAAACCGACACACATCACAATGATGTTCAGATCCATGAAATGCACTGCAATGGAGGGAAACCTTATGCATGTAAGCAATGTGGGAAAGCTTTTACCAAACGTGGAAATTGTCAGCAACATGAAAGAATTCACACTGGAGAGAAACCATATGTATGTAAGCAATGTGGGAAAGCTTTTACGACACGTGGGTATTGTCAAATACATGAAAGAATTCACACTGGAAAGAAACTCTGTGTATGTAAGCAATGTGGGAAAGCTTTCACTACACGTGGAGCTTGTCAAATACATGAAAGAATTCACACTGGGCAGAAACCCTATGTATGTAAGCAATGTGGGAAAGCTTTCACGACACTTTCATGTTGTCAAAGACATGAAAGAATTCACACCGGGCAGAAACCCTATGTATGTAAGCAATGTGGAAAGGCTTTCAGCACAAAATGCTCTTGTCAATCACATGAAATCACTCACACTGGGGAGAAACCATATATGTGCAAGCAATGTGGGAAAGCTTTCAGCAGAAACACTCATTGTCGAAGACATGAAAGAACTCACACTGGGGAGAAAGCATATATGTGTAAGCACTGTGGGAAAGCTTTTACCACAAATGCATATTGCAAAGCACATGAAAGACTTCACACTGGAGAGAAACCTTATGTATGTAAGCAATGTGGGAAAGCTTTTACCATAAATGAATATTGCAAAATACATGAAAGACTGCACACTGGAGAGAAACCTTATGTATGTAAGCAATGTGGAAAAGCTTTCAACAGGTACAGTGATCGTACAATACATGAAAGAACTCACACTGGAGAGAAACCCTATGTATGTAAGCAGTGTGGGAAAGCTTTCTCCACACAGCAATATTGTCATATACATGAAAGACTTCACACTGGAGAGAAACCCTATGTATGTAAGTAGTGTGGGAAAAGTTTCACCAGGCACAATCAATGTAAAACACATGAAAGAACTCCCATTGGCTATTAATTGTATGTATGTAAGCAATGTTTGAAAACTTTACCACAGGCAGATCTTATCATATACATGAAAGAATTCACACTGGGGGAAACCCTATGTGTGTGAACAATGTGGGAAAGCTTTTAGTACAAACAGTCATTGGCAAACATACAAAAGAATTCACACAGGGTTTCTATGGAAAATGAGATAATATAGTAAGCATTGTTCATTTTCTGTTATTTGGTTTGAATGCCCTGTAATACTCTCATTCTCTTGAATGGTTTTATGCTATTTTGTTATGTTTGATACTATTGTATATGAAGTTATGCTCAACTATTTCAAAGAAAGAGACATTATGGTAGCTACTGTTAATTATGGGTTGTCTTGTGGTGAAATACTGTGTTGCTTACATTGTTCTGTTCTCAACTGCTTTCTTATGTCCTCTTTTGTTTTAATCTCTTTAAAATTAAAAAAATTCATACAAGGAATAAACACTGGCTACATATAAGCAATGTAGGAAAGCTTTCAGCAGGCCCAGTGAATGTAATATACATGAAAAAAACTTAACTGGGTAGAAACCATATGTGGGTAAGTAATGTGGGAAAGATGCCTGTCCACACACTGTTTGAAACATATGAAAGAATCCTCAATGGGTACACACTTAATATATATAATGTTGTTGAGCTGGGTGTGGTAGCCCAGGCCTATAATCCCAACAGTCCAGAGAGTGAGGCAGGAGGATCATTGTGAGTTCAAGACCAGCCTGGGCTACTAAGTAAGCTCAAGGGCCACCTAAACTGCATATTGAGACCTTGTCTCAAAACAGAAATACAAACAAAATATATATATAAAGATCTTGTTTTGAAATTCTGGTGAAAATTTCTCATGTGGAGACCAGAAGAAATAATTAATACAAGATATTTGATATCAATATTTCTTCACAAATGTTCCAGAAAATACAAATCTGAGGTGGAGTGCTCCTAAATTACTATGTTGTATGGCTTTCAATAAGTCACTTATAAATATTCAAATTTTGTACATGTAGGATTTCATATAAAAAATACTGAGTTGATGTAAATTTGCATTTTTGAGTGTCTTTGTGCTTAACCATAGTGTGTTTTAATTAAACGTGAATTGAAATGCACTTTTTATTTTCAAGTATGGTTAGTGTCTTTGTAGTTAATGTTTTGTCTTTAAAATTGGGAGATATAGGCCACCAATGATTTCATTTTTGTATTATTTTTATTAATTGTTGGGATTTTGCCTCTTATGTTTTTGTTCAGTTTTTGATGCCTATACTTCATCTTCGGTGTAACAAATGATGTTTCTGAATTTGATGCTACATATTATATTAAGATCCACAGTTTCAGAGGCTTGTGGGCATGTGTTTTTAACAAAGTTGAATTATTTTTCACACAATTTGTAGATTGGCAAATGTCGTGTTATTCATATTGTGACAAGATACCTGCTTATACCCTAATGTCATTGTCTATCATGTCATGTACATTGTGTTGCCTGTTTTTCTTTCTTATTGGAGTCAATATTATTTATGTAAACATTTGTTTTCTTGCCACCCAAATTTTACTTGTCATGTTTATATTGCATTGATTTTTACTTTATTGTTAATTTTTCCATCACATGTACTAAAAATCAACTGTACTACCGTGAATTTCTGATTGCTCCAGACCAGCTGAACCATAAATTGTCTTGAAAAGCATATCAGGAATTATAGTAATATCTCCAAGAAGTATAAACAATAGTATGATTTATCAGTAACAACACATCAAAAGGAAGTTTTCTCAGTTGCTTTTGGGAAATTGGTTGGTACCAAAATGTATTTTATTCTATTTGTAGTAATTATTGCTTTTTCTTAATACACTGAACTAATGAATGAAAGGAAAATTTAAATTGAGAGGTATCAGTGTTGTAAAAGATGACTTTACTAAATTCTAATTCACAATGTGTTGTTTTTAACCAGTTTTTGAGATAAATCTATACAATACCATTTTGGTGTTCATAAGAACACTGTCTGATGTTTGCAGTATGTACCAGTTGCTGTCAGTCACCTACACTGACCTGTTTTCACTCTTTTTAACATAGGTGTAATTTGTAAAGTTCTTAATACACTGTTCTTGAATACAAAAACTACTCAAATTCTGAATGTTGTCACAAACCTATGATATTATGAAAACATCTGTGAGTACTACATTAAGTATCCCTAGTACAATGAGTATAGTTTTATTTAGTCTGAATTATGCTCCAACACATAAACTGTTCACCAATTGTGTAATTTCTTCTAAAATTATGTCAATTTCCTATCTGATACATATAGTTTGTGGACTAGAGTCTGTACAGTGCCAATTTTTATAACTTACAACATGTGGCCAACTTCTCTGGAGCACATTTCTGATTACTGTCACAAGGAAAATATGTCCTGTGTATTGCTCTTCTAGCTACTAATTGAATATTGAATCTTTATGACATTTGTCCTGAATACATTTATCTTCTCATTTTACCATGAAAATAAAAGTTGATGGTAATATTGATGCATACTTGTAATCCCAGGAACTCAGGAGACTTAACTGGGTGGATAAAACAGTTGCATTTAGCCTGTTCAATTTGGTGGAATCTTGTTTTAAAATATATCTTCAATTTCTGCAGATGTAGGCTGGTGCTTTTGTAGTCCCAGACTGATTCCCCTTAGATTATTCTAACACTGAGTTACTCACCATAGTTGTCCTTTTTCTCTCTTGACCACTTAGCATTTTACCCAAGCACCACAGGGGCAGCGCATTTGTTTAGGGACTGGCTATCCTGAGCATATATTCTTTCTGAGGTTGTGACCCTATTTTCCTTGGGAATTATGGGTATGAATCTATGGTTTCATTTTTCTTTTTCTTTCTTTCTTTTTTTTTTTTCCCCCCCCCCCGAGACAGAGTCTCACTATGCAAATCAGGCTGGCCTTGACTCATTTTGTAGCCCTGGCTGGTCTCGAGCTTGCAACGATTCGCTTGGCTCAGCCTCCTGAGTGCTGGGATTACAGGTGTGCACCACCATGCCTGGCAAATCTAGTTTCTATACATTAAATATTTGTGGTCATGCTCAGAGAAAGATTTTTTTATGTAGTTTCTGGAGAAAAGGGTGATGAATTTTACATGTTAAGGAGGACTTTGAAGTGACTCCAGGAAAGGGTCTTCCTCTAGTAAATATTAGGGTGTAAGGGTTGCTTTTTCACACTGGGAAAGGGGAGCAGCAGACCATGCTCAGCTCGCAGAATTAGCATTTTGACTTCTTGTTGCCTCATCACCAGGACTCAGTGTGATTCGTCAGTCTCACCTTCCACGTGGAGAAGAGATTTAATGGTCTGAATGTGGAATTTTCTTTGACAGTAGCAGCAGGTGGCTTTTTTTCACTTTTGGTTGTTCTGTAGAATAATGCTGCCTAGTGAATATAGTAGATATGTACATAACTTTAGCCCTTTATTTTTATGTTTTCCTAATTTTTTACTAAAATCTATCATATCCAGCTATGTTTGTATACTCCAGTAATCTCAGCACTCAGGAAAGCTGATAGAAAAGTGTTACATTTTTACAAGTTTGTGGATTTGCACAGAAATTATGCAATAAACCAAAACACTTTCAAAAAAAAGAAAGAAAGAAAAGAAAAGAAAGTGGCTTGGGGATGTGGCTACACAAGTGCCCTAGATCCAGCCCCAATCTTAAAAAAGTAAGAGAGCCTAGCTGACTGAAAAAGTGTGAGAAATCCTAGGCAATGAATCCAGCTGCCTCTTTCCACACTGCTGAAAGGTGACATCCCACACTACCCTCTGCTATGGAGCCACATGTGCTCTAGGCCGCCCTCCTTTCTGAGTTCTGTTGTCTCAACAAGACAGAGCCTAGAAATCTGAGCACACTTACTGCTCTATTTCCAGGACAGAGCAGCAGGAAAGCCTGACTGAATACATTTAGAAAGCAGGTACCTGCTCTAGAAAGCCAAGAGCAAATTCATCCTATATGGACCATTTCAACACCTCAGGAGTAACCTTGGGGACACAAAGGTCCTGGATGGAACCCGTCACTCAGTTCATCATAGCCGGACATAGGATCTTTTTCCTGTCCCTCAGATCTCAGAGGATGGGCTTTTGATCACCAGCCATTGGCAGATATGGTCAGCTGCATGAGCTCACAGGAGAGCAGTACAGAAAGATCAGGCTGATTCATAAGGTGGTGCCTTCCTTTTTATTGATGCCGTATCTAGTTGTTAGTCCTCCAGCATTGTGGGTCACGATGATGGCTGTCATGTAAGGGGTTGGTGAAACTGAGAGATGTTAATGAAAAGGCTCAATGTTTCTCTTGTGACCTATGAAACAGCTATAGATCACTTGGTGGTTAATAGTGACTGATGTAGGGATCCCTATACAGTTGCTATTTGCTAAGAAAGTTGCTTTTAGTTGTTATCTCCATATACTTGGAAAGTAAATGTGTTTGGTGATAAATATGCCAGTGAGAGGAATTGCAATAATCATTTTACAATATAACCACATATGAAAACATTTCATTATACACATGAAATATGTTTTATGTACTACAATTATGCTAAATGAAATTAATTTTTCATTAATTTTTCCCATGAGCCAAATTAACATGACTGAAGCTCTGTCATAAGTTGTAAAGATTTTCCCTTTTCCTGTATTTTTAAGAGATAATGCACTCCATGGTGGTAATGTTACTGACAATATATAAAGTTGCATGCATCAGTCATTATAAATGTAAAATATGGGCTGGGGATTTAGCTCAGTGGCATAAGCGCCTGCCTTGCAAGCAGGGAGTCTTGAGTTCGATCCCTGGTACCAATAAAAAGGAAGAAGACAAAAAAAAAAAACAATAAATGTAAAATAATTTATTTGAGTGTTTAATTTAACAAGAACTGGGCATTGACATCACAGGAGGTTATATATAAGAGACTTTTCACTTAAAAATATTTAGAAAAATTTCTACACTATTAGCTGCTTGAACAATTTCTCTTCAAACCATGCATACTTTTGGCCAATTTCTAGAAAGTTTTTTTTTATCATAGGCTTCTATCAAATTATTTAAAGATGCCTAGGATCCTGTCTATATTTTGCTGCTTTCTTCTGTTTTGAAATTTATACAAAGACTTACTTTTATCTTAGGATTAAACTAATTGCATGGATGCTGTTACAGTGAAACACCAGTCCACTACTTTACCTTCCATTGGATACTCATGGAATTGATCATGTGTATTACTGAGGAGAGAAAATGTCTTCACACATATACAAGAATGAGTACATACTTCAGTTTGAATGAAGAAATGAAAATATCATATTTTTGTTATCTCCTTGCTTTCTTGACTGGGGGTAAATAATTCATAAACATATTTTTAGCCATTGCCTAAAACTTTTAGCTAGATGCCATAACCAAAATTGCAGATCAGTTCATTGTATGCAATAATTATTTATCACAGTTGTGAAGCCTAGGGAATCCCATGATCAATGCATTTGCAGCATACATTTGTATTGAGACTTTCTTTTAAAAGATGGTAACTTGCAGCTGAGTTCTTATATGCCAGGAAGGGTGGGCAAGTTGTGTTTGGTCAACTTTATAAGTGAATATATGTTATTAGTGAGGTTTCTGAGTGAGCTCAGTACTTTCAAAGGCCTTATCAAACCATCTCATAACCATGACATTGGAACATAAGTTCCAATATATGAATTTTGGGAAAACTGAGTCATTCATACCACGTGAAACCTTATGTGAGATTATATCAGGTGTTGGGCAGTGTTACAGACACCATATAGCTTATTGTTTCCCAAAACAATTTATATGTAGATATACAATCCAATCTTTAAAGTTTTTAGAACACAGACACTCAAGCAAAGGATTGTACTTAAATTTTAGAAATTTAATGTAGATGTCACAGTTCAAATTTTGAAACAGTTCAAAATTGAAACAGTTCAAATTTTTCATGAGCAAAACACACAGTGGATAGACTTTAAGTTGGAGATTCAAGAAAGCAAATAATAAAAGTTAAATGGCATAATACTATTGCCATGCTATAAAATGACTTTTGATACATTCAGTTCCCACTGTTTCTTGAGGAGGTACAACCTCACATCCATAGACTAAAGAATAGTGTTTAGGATAGGAAAAGAATATTTAAGAGATGGCTCAACTGGTCACCAGAGCAAATACATAGAATGTGCACAGCGTGATGGCAAGTTTCAACCTCACATAGCCCCGTGCAATGTATTTTCAAGTGCACTTTCTTTATAAAAGTGGAAATGGGCTTCAAAATAGTCATGAGCCTTGGTTTAGATCTTATACTTGTCTGCTATCAAATCTACCCCACTAGTGACTTTTACATAATTAAAATGAACCTGATACTTCACTCTAGTGTAACTGTAATCATCACATCCATTGATCTCCTCCTCTATCAAAGATAACTATGAGAGTTTGGGGGCCATTTTCATATCTGTGTGGTTATTCTGCTATAGACAGCTAAGTTAGGCAGATAAATATGAGGCATTCAGACAGGCCTAGACTCTCCAGGGAGTCAGTGGAGAAGGTAACTCTTCAAAACTGGGATAGGAGGACCATCTGAAGATTAAAATCAGTAGTTAGTTTATATACTTCCCTAAGGGATAAACAGGAGTTTGAGTTTATTGATATTACCCATTTGAGATTTCCCATTATCTCTCTGGGGTGAGTCCCCATCTCCTCCTCACTGAGGCTAAGACTAAGACTAAGACCTAGATTAAGAGCACTAGGACTAAGACTAAAGCCACTAAGACTAAAGACAAAACTAAAAATATAGATTACTTCCAAAAGTTAATGATGTTACCCATATACCTTTGCTAGCATGGGATCAATATTACCTAAGTGATTATATTTTCAATATTGTTGTATAGTCATAACTTTGAGTCACATTGTACCTGGCACATGATTTTGTTCTACCAACTTCCTTTGAGAGGTGAGCTTGTTGGAAAAACATTGAAGACACTCCCTCCTGTTCAGGAGCTATTCCCCATTCCTTTTCCCTATTCCTCTTCCTTATTTGTATTCTACAAATTTTCCTGCTTTTAACCACGTTGCTCCTTGGAATTCATCCTTCAACTATGAAAATCATGAACTCAGCATATCTGACTTCCAGCATTTCCACTGTAGCACTTCTAAATGTTTATGAAGTGGTTACAAATAGGTGTGCCATAGACCCAAATTATTCCTATAGGACCATTATCAAAGTTCTAATCCTGAATTGAATGTCCTGTATTGAACAGAAAGTGCTTCCACATTCGGAAACATGTCTATGCACATCAGGTCTATGCACATGGGGACCTTTCGAGGTGCAATATTAGTGGCTTTGCCTTTCCTAAGGAAGCACCTGAAGGAAAAGAAATATTATAATGTCGTAAGTTCCCATAGCGAGGATACAGTGCATATTCAGACTCGCAATGAGCTGCTTACTCCGCTTAGAAAATTAAATTATTGACTATAATACCCATCCCTATAGGTTTTTTGTGCGTTCAACCTCAGCCTGGCATCACATTCCTACTTCTAATAGCACTTTGTTCTTGGGCATGTGAAATGGGAAAGACTGCTTTCTTATTTTAATCAATAATACAGGGCTGGGGATTTAGCTCAGTGGTTTAAGTGCTTGCCTGGCAAGTTCAAGGTCACAAAGAAAAAAAAAAGAAAAGAATACAAGTGGTGTAGTCCATTATGTGTTGCTCTGTCAGAATGTCACACACAGTAATTTAAAAAGAATTGAAATGTGCAATCTAAAAACTTTGAGGCTTCAAAGTATAAGAGCATAGAATAAAAATCTAGTCAGACTTTGGCTGCATTAAACCTTTTGTTTTGTTTTGTTTGAGACAGGGTCACAATATGTAATTCAGACTGGCCTTCAACTCAAGATGTGTCCTAGGCTAGCACTGATCTCAGTGATCCTCCTGCCTCAAAGCCTTCTGAATGCTAGGATTGGAGGTGTGTGTCCCCTTGCCCAGCTCATATGATCTGCTCTCGAATGGCAAGTGACTTTGTGTGTGACAGAAGTAATGTGGGTATTATTATTAGAAAGTCACTGTGGTCACAAACTACTCTCTTTCATGTGAAAATCATTTCATTCATGAGAGAAAATGTGCCCATCACCTAGTACAGGACCCACATCTCAACTCTGTTTATGAGGTGCTCTGTTTCCTAAATATGGAATTTAGAAGGCATATTGAGTCATGATGAGTTAGTTCAGTTACTGAAATCTCTGACTTGAGTAAGGAGAAAATCTATAGTACATGGAGGTCGGTACTTACCCTTGAAACTTAGTGCCCCTAGACACACAAAACTCAATAGCAATCAGCTTTCAATTATTGCTTTATTTTTGATGGGCAGTATAAGTTTCAGTCTTTTGCTATGTATTACTTTTACTTATTTAAAGTAAGGTTCTTATCACATCACACAAAATCATGATAACTGTGATTAATTGGCTGAGTGAAAGATGCAAGGTAGACTGGGTGGCAGTGTTCCACTCATTATGCAAAGGTTTGTCAAGTGAGTAGCTCTGCAGAGCTTCAGACAGTCTGAAATCCACTGAGGACCGAATTTCATTGGTCTTGAAAGACTATGTCAGAGAGTGAGAGAATCCTCCTGAAAGTGGCAATATTTGAATGAGACCTGAATGTTGTACATTTGCGACTCACATAAGAGTTCATTGTCAAGGAAAAATAGCAGCATGTAAATTTTGGGAACCTGTAGATGGAAGTGCTATATTACCTTGTGACAAGATATTGAGGGGTATTGGAGTAATTTCTCAAAAAGCATGGTGATACACCTCCTCAAATCATTGTGATCACCTAGGGATATAACTCAGTGGCACAAGCACTTGCCTGGCAAGTCAAGATCCTGAGTTGAATTCCCACTGCTAAATCATTGTGAGTATTCTTCATAAGTTTATGTAAGTCAACATAAACAATTGAAATTGGTAGCTAATAACAGAGGCCTCCATCAGCTTGCTAAATACAGTATAACAGGAGTCCAGGTATTTCTAGTAGTTCATTTATTTTAACTACAAAATCATCACCAGATGCCTGTTTACACTGAGGCAGGTCTGCCTGCATGGAGGAGACTGGATTGTAGTTGAAAGCAAAGGTTTTGATATGCAAAAAAATACCAGAGTCAGACTAAAGTATGTATATATAAACACTGAAGAGCAGGGAGAGAAAAAACTCATTTACATAATTAAAGAAATAATTTATGTTTGGAAATTTATTTAGGACATATATCTGGGTACATATATTACAGGTACAAAATATCTTACACACAGAATTTAAGAAAAATACATTTATTTTGTCTCATTGCTTGAGCAGCCACAGTGTGAATTTGAGCATTTCCATTGCAGAAATAACTTGGAAAATAGAAGTAAAGAAAACAAGGTAACTCTTTATGAGGTCAAGGAAGCAGGAAGGCAGGGAAGAAGCCTGAGATGAAAGATTTGGTCCATCAGGTCAAACTCACATGACTCCACCAGACACACCCATGGGTGTAATTTATTAATACCCTCCACATCTGTAAGCCAAACAAGTTGTTAACAAGTGTATCACATGGTCCAGGCAAATATCCTTCTAGAACTACTGAAGTCCTAAAATGGTTGAGTTTGAAATTGTGAAGAGAAAGCTGTAGGGCATAGAGAGCTAAAGTTTGAAGTCTTTATGTTTTCCTGCTTTATCACAAGAAAATGGTTGAGTGGATGGGAAATGTGGCCCTATTTCAGCAATCATAGTGACCTTCATGCTTGGCAACGTGCTCACTTTCACAGTTCAGGATTTTTATGGCCCTGGATGAGTTGCAAGCTTGTCTGGGATAGTTGAAATGTTTGCTTTCTTTTGGAGATTATTGCTATCATTTAACTCTAATTTCTTCATTTTGACAATAATTGTGCTCCTTTTCTAAGCACATATTATATGGGGGGGGGCTGAAAATCAATAGATGCAAGGAGATAAATGTGAAAATCTTGACAATGAAGCTTGCTGCTTCACTCCATAGACTGACCTCTCAAACAGTTTGCCCTTTTTATAGTCGGCTGTGTCTTGGCCTGGCTTGGGCTCGGGATGTTTTTTGACATCAGGGAATTGATTCTTCCCTACAATATTGGCCCTAGCACCCTCTGAGCACATTTGTAACCCATTTTCTGGAAGAGTCCATGGAGTACTTTAAGAAAACAGGAGCAGTACTGAAAAGGCAGGAGTAAAGCCCTTCAATGCAAGTATCCATTAGACCAGATGAGGTCAGCATTGTAGAAGATAGCCTGGTTCAGGAGTCTGGGCACTGCAAACTTTCCTTTGTGATCCAGGGTTGCAGATAGGGGTTTGTTTCTGTCCTCTTTCTTGGCCGGGTGGGAGGGCAACAGAGCAGGAGCCAATCAGTGAAGAGGCGGCGAGCCTCGTGAACTGTCCAATCAGGTGGGCCAATATAGGGCGTCTTCTAGTGTCATGGCGTCAATTGCGTTTTCTGAGGGTAATCGGGACAGAGGAAGGCTTGCTAGGCCTCATTTTATGGATTCTATTTACTATCCTGCTTCAGAAAAAACCTGGGAAACCTCAGGACACGCAATGGTAACGTTACGGGATGGGAGCCTGAAATGGGATGAAATTTGTGCGATCCTCGTTAGAAGTGGTCAGAAGCAGCTGTGGTGCCTAGAACCTCCGTACTTAGCTGTAGATCCCAGAGGTCCTTCTGGACTGACAGTGAGTCATCTTCTGTCCCTTTTGCCCCTTGCTGGGGCGAGGCTCGTTTGTGTCCCCTGACCCCTATCCTCACTGTGACTCTTATCAGCTCACCGTGGCGCCTGGGAAGCCTCCTGCCCTTGCATCTCCACCCGACTGAGGAGAGAAGGGGCTTTGGGGAGACCCTGACCCAGAGAGGATTTGAGCTGAGTGCACTGTGGTGAGCTAGGTCCTCGTTGACATTCCTGTCAGCAGCAGCTCTGGAGGATCAGAAGTTTATACATGTCTGGGATGCAGGGTACACAGCCACGACTCCTCTCCTGAAAGTTCAGCTTTTTTATCTTTATAGTGACCCCCTACATTTCCAGTATGTCGTCATATTTCCGCACTCATAATGGGTGTTGACAGAAGTTCTGGGAATTGAACACAGTGGGTGATGTGCCTCAGTGGTGGAGCACTTGCCAGACTCCTAGTGAAGTCCTGTGTTCCATACAGAGCAGTGCAAACGAAATGTCTAATCTAACAGGTGACACGCCTACTGACAGACTATGTGAGAACTACCTTAGAGTTTAGAATTCTGAAAAAAAGTGGAGCAGATGTTAAAATATTAATCAGGAGAGGGAAAAGTGTACTTGACAAGCACAACTTCCAGGATAGGCAGCCTATTAAACTCATGCTGAGAAACCCCTGCATTGGGGCATTTGCATGGACATATATGTGTGATATGGGTAGGAATGAAAGGGATGGGGTTTATCTCTGAATTAATGGCTACAGAGCTAGGGCTGATCATAGACATTGTGTAAATGCTAAAATGCTCTCTGAGATAGATTTCATTAGGAGCTCTAGTATAAAGAAGCCCCAAATACAAGTTGTGCAGGGATATTAAAGGTTAGCATGAAGGGTTTTCTGCTAGGGTGGATCAAATGATGAGAATTTAATGATAGAGAAGTGTGTGCTGTTATCCCTGGTCTGTTCATGTTACCAGTTTTGGGGTTTTTGTTTTTGTTTTTCTCTTTTCTTTCTTTTTTTTCTTTTTCTTTTCTTTTTTTTTTTTAGACTGAGTCTGCTTTTAGAGTTCTGGTTGCCTTTGAACTCACTTTGTAGTCTAGGCTGACCTGACACACATAGCAGTTCCCCTACCTCAGCCTTCCAAGTGCTGGGATTACAAGTGTGTGTGAGCACATCCAACCGTAGAATCGTTTTTGAGGCAAAATCAGAAATTGGAAAACAGTCTGGCATTGTTGTAGGTTAAAATATTTGGTGAACACCATCAGTGAATTAAAATAAAAGGGGTTTCCCCAGGACATAGAAGATTTTAAGATATACTTGATGATTTTATTGTAGAAAAAACTGGAAATTTGCTGAACTATGTACCCCCAAGTTTTCAATTTTTGTTTTTAAAATTTGAGATCATGTCTTACTATATTGCCCAGTATCTATTGGTAGATTCTGAACGTTATGGACTGTTGTTTTGACAAGTATGTGCCATTATGCCAGTTTAAGACTGAGGTTCTTTATTGCTTCTAATTTACTATGGTTTCAATGTTTTCATAAAATTTCTTCCTTTTTTTAAAAAATTTTATTGAGACAATGTCTTGCCATATAGTTCAGTCTGGCCTTGAACTCATTATGTGGTGCAGGCTAGCCTCGAGCTGATGGGAATCCACCTGCCTCAGTGTCCCCCAGAGTGCTGGGATTACAGGGGTTCACCACCACAGCTGGGTAGTGCTTAGGTAAAGTAAAAACTCATGAGCCGTGGTGGTTCACCCCTTTACTCTTAGGCACATGGGAGACAACAGTGCACCAAACCTGGACAATCAAGCAAGATCGCCTTTCAGTATGAAATGTAAATTGTGTGATTTACCTCCACTTAACAGTAAGACATTTAACATGCCTTAGCCCGGTGATAAATGTCTAATAATGAACAATGAAAGAAAACCAATTCAAAGGAAATCTTGAGTTTTTTATTTTACTCCTTTTGCACACTACTGATATATGGTACAATACTTGCTCATAATAGTGGACAGCAGTAAAGAACCACTTCTCAGCAACAGGACAGCAGTGTTAAACAAGCAGAGATTTGAAGCACACTGTATTCAATAAGTGCATGAGTGGTTCAGTATTTTTTATGATTTTGTCTTGTGTTACATATATATCCCTAAGCCGAGATCAAGTAAGTGTGTTGAGCAGGTTTAAAGGATCCAAAGCTTAGCAGTAGTGTTTTTTTGACCATGCATATTCTGTAAATTTTCAGCACATTTTCTTTTGAACTTCCTCTGAATTGATGATGTTATTTTGTCTTTCTCAGTCATGTAGTATATCCACTTTAACTCTTCAAAAAACCCTCTAAAAAACATAATAACCATCAGATTGTTTCCTTTTTTGAGAGCTCTATTAATCAGGTTGCCCAGGGCAGCTGACTCAGAAGAACAATATCAGTAGTGTTTGGAAAAGGGAGCACTATTCTGGATTTAAATTTTTGTTTCTTTGTTTGCTTTGATTTGGTTTGGTTGTTTTTATCGTTTTAACATTATAGAGAGGTGCCCCATTCTGATCATACTGACTGCATTTCATCAGTATAAAGGGGTTTGGAGAGTGAGTTTTCATTGATCAAACACAGGCCTGAGCAGTTGGAACATAAGTCATCAAGCATGTGTGTGGCTGAAGAGAAAATACTTCCATTCCTAGTTCTAATTATGCTGACTTTGGAAATCCTTCTATTTGAACCTCAGGTAAACATGTGTCTTTCTATTCTAGATGGTCCACTCATGTAATCCCACTTGCATTTCCATGACATTAAAGAGTTGAAGGCATTTCTGTCCAATAGTGTTACTTATTAATAACATTATTTTTGCAGTAATTCATATCTCCTTGGAAAAAGAAATTACTTATGTTCCCATAAGTTAAAGTTGACAGCAATCCCTAAGCAATCCCCCTAAGTTCTCTTGATTGCCCACTTACTGAGGACAGACCTTCCATGTTGGTATCCTGGAGATTCCCATGGGAAAGGTGTATGTCACAGCTGAGACAAAGCACAGAGCTTCAGTGTAAAGTACCTTTCAGTCTGTCTGTATCTCCCTGTGGGTGTCATCATACAGCATGAAGCAGTGGAGCCTGTTCTGGTTTTCACGCTTGTGACATCTGAAATGTAGTTCAAATGGTGAGGACAAGGAGAGGGTGTGCAAGTACAGACAGAGTACTTCGTGTGGAGTCACTGAGATTGAGTTTGGAGGTGCAGAGCTAGCAATTCGGCAGGTCTTAGAATCTTTGCCCATTTCCGTACCTTGTCACTGAAAAGCTTGTATGTCCGCTCCACCTGCTAAGTGAATGATTTTCGAGCAGTGGAGATTATGAACATGAGGAAATGTGAATGTGTTTCAACTTTTTCTTGTAATTATGACACAGTGTAACAAATATTTAGTACCATCTTGGGGATGGAGGTCAGGAATATTAACAATATCATATCACAAACAGAATGGCCCTTATTAGAAGGAAATCTTGTCCCTAAATGTCACTAACAGTAAGCACAGCATAATGCTGTGCTTGACAGGCCTGTTGTTGTAGGTGTGTTTTCTTTCCACACTGATCCCTTGCTTTTCACTACTACATTATACTCTGTGGCTTCATGTACATTTTTTATTGTCACTGTAGACCCTAGATACTGCTGAGCACTATTCTTGTGCTCTAACAATGAGCTACACACCAGCCTAGTGTGTGTATATATATATGTATGTATGTTTATATATGTATATGTATATTAATTAGTGTGATCAAATACTATATTCAAGAGTTTACTCTGTATGTCAGCTAATTCACTCAGTAATCTTTCCCAGATTTATTTGAACTGCTATATGTAGATGTAATTCCTGACAGTGACTCCATTGTTTGTGTGCACATATTTTATTTGATTTCCACTGTTAGGGAGAGCAGGCTTGTCTAATTCTGTCACTGATATGAATATACCAAGAACATTCTCTTACTTCCTGTCCCAGAAACAGATTTAAAACAATCCCACATATTCTCCAAGGTTGTTTATTGGTGCATAGGGTATGTATCGATAGTTCAGAATCTTATTGTATACCATCCATGCTACAAGCACCACTGCTGGGTGTAGTTTCTGTTTCTCATAACCATCAACACTAGAGTTTTTCTAATCTGACAAGTTCATGTATTGATAATTAAATTTAATTGCTTCTTTGCATTTATTCTGTCTTTAATGCTCTGATTTTTAGGGCTTCTTTTTCCATTTTCTCTGTAAGTCCTTCTGTAAAATATCTGCTTATACTATTTACTCATATGAGAGTGTTCTGATAAGTATTCTTTTTGCTGTTGTTTTTGTAGGTATCTCATTATCACTCGTAGAGAATCAACACACCTTCCAGCTGCATTTTTTATTTCACTGAGAATTTTTTTGCTGAGCAGAAATCCTTACTATCACCTTTTATATCTTTTCAAAATCACCTTAAATTTTGTAGATTTAAATATCACTTTCAAGGATTTCCTTATTATTCAGCTGGTCATTTTCCTATACTTTCTGTATTGTAGGTTCATGTCTTATATTTTTTCATAAATCTATGGTGAGTGTACCTTTGAAAGTTTGACAGAAATGAAAGCTTTGCATCATATAAAATGAGCAGTGTGCCACCATAAAGAACTGATAAGTTGCCTCTTACTCTTGATTTTTACTGCCAGCCTTATCAAATCTCGGTTTGTATAACATAAATAAATATATTTTTTGAATTTTTTTATGGTTAGTGTGTATGCATGTTGCCTAAGTCTGAGGCTTAAATGACTGTAAGAAGTATTTTCTAAATTATTGAGAGAGAGCTAGGCTCAGCAAGGTAAGCATGAGATTGTGAGTTAAATTCCTGGTACCAACACCCCCCCCC